ATTCACCAGCACCACCTACGTCCCCCCTGCTCCCCGGCACCGCCCCATCTTTGACAAGGTTCTAGGCTTTCACCTGGGGATCTGCCTGGGGCTCGCCTTCCCACAGTGACTCCACACACCCTGCTTTCCGTTTATTGGGGGTCTCCGCTTCATCTCACATCTCCTGCACTTGACTAAATTCACCTGCTTTCAGGTCAGAAAAAATAAGGGCTTAGTGCTTGATTTGCTTTCATCCTCATTTAGAAAACAAGGGAGAAGCTGAAACCAGATCCTAGCATTTTTATCACCCGTCTCCATTCCCTGTACACGTTTATTGCATATTGTTTATTGTAGATTTTCCCCGGATCTGCTTACGTGGGGGAGTTGCATGCTGATCGACAGGGCAAGTGGCTCTAGGGTCATTCACACCTTCAGCAGCAGGCACTTTAGAGACACTTTTAACTAAAGTTAATGGGAAGCCAAAAGAAGTCACACCGAGTTATGTGTCCAGGCAAACTACAGTGACTCCAAACCAGTCTGTCCCGGGATGGCCTTTGTGCTCTGAGAGGACATGGGAGAAGGGCACACGTGTCCCGTCCGCGGAAATCTTCCTGAGCACCAGAGTGATGGAAAACTCCACCCAAGCCCATCCTGCCCCTGAACCCATGTTCTGGCCCGACCCAGGAATACGGTGATGGTGTCCTGGTACAAAGGTGCTCCTTAGCCGCAAAGGCCTGCTTACTTCCTGCCAAACAAGCATCACTCAACCTGAATGTCAGCCTCTCACCTTCCCTCCTTCTGGAAGAACCACATTATTTATTTAGCCTTTGATTTGTGGATCCCTGTGGCAACCTTGTTTGGAAGGGCTGTGGCTTGTTGCTACATGGTGCTCCAGGGCAGAACCAGCACCAGGAAGCCTGGGGTGGATGCCCAGGTGGGCCACGGACTGTCTCCAAAAAACCTCAAAACATGGCTCTTGGCCCACGGGCATTTCTCACCCCCACTCTCAGGTCTCACTGTCAAGTGGACCCCATTCTTGAAGGCATCCATCACCGGGATTTAGGACCTTGCCATCTGCTACTGTCTTTGCCCATAAGCCACATGCAGGGGCCTGGTATCCAACGGATACAGCGTCACCTAAGCCAGGGTCACAAACATGACTTTGCAGAGAGGAATAGATGGTATAGCAGGAATCGCAGGCCATCTCTGCTGCAACGCCCCCACTCTGACCTCACAGTGGGGAAGCCTCTCGTAGACATTATGTAAATGAAAGGGTTTGGCTATATCCCAATAAAACTTTACTTATGGACTCTGAAATTGGAGTCCTGTATAATCTGTATGTGTCACAAAATATATCTTTCTAAAATCTTTTCCAACCATCTAAAAACATTTCTTAGCTCACAGGCAGTACAAAGACAAGCAGTGGCCGGATTTGTCGACCCTGGTCTGAGATAGAGCAAGCTCTCCCCCAACCCCACCCGCACCCCCAGCCCAGCGAGTCACTACTGGCTTTGTGGTTTAGTGTTTTGACTTTGCCTTTTTTGTTCACAGCTCTGGAACTCCTGGGAGATGGCCAGCAATGAATGAGAAACTTCTGCGCTTTGGCTAAACCTAAATCCAGCAAGAGGCAACCAAAGAACTAGTCTCCCTGGGAGCAAAGGCAGGTCAGGAAGGAGGCCAGTTTCGGATTTCCTCCCTTGCTGTGACATGTATGCAAAGACACACAGAGCCTTGTTCCAGAAGAGGCAGCAAGTCAGGTCACCAAACAAGGTGAAACGGCAGTCCTGAGTCTGCGTGAACATCCCGTTTCACATTCCTGCAGGCACGAGACACCCCTGAAGTCAACCAGGCCCCTTTAAGATTTCCCCACAGAGGACAGGGTGGTTTCAGCCTCCCCAGTCCTGCACGTTTCCCAGTCCTCCAAGAATTGGCGGGGCCCTGAACAGTGCACAGCCTGCCACTAGAACACTGCACCAGGCTCCTGGCCCTGGGTGGTAGAACTCTGCATCGGTGCCCATCCTGATTCGCTTGTCCCAACAGCACCCCTGGGGCCGGAGGGTTTCCATGGCAAAGCCCTCTGGAGCCTTTGTTCCTGCTCTGGTCTCAATACCGAAATCATTCGCTAGCTTGGTCTATGCCGTTCTCAAAATGCCCTTTCAAGATCAGACAGGGCTTTGGTTGCCTGGCGGTGTTTGGAGAGTAAATGCCTGTTCAAAAAGGGAAACATACAACCTAACTTCATGACTTTCAAAAGTTTGGGTCATCACTTTCAATGTTTTAACACATATTAAATGTTTTTTAAGAAAGAGTAGTGAGGGCTGGGGATACAGCTCAGTGGGTAGAGTGCTTGCCTTGCATGCTCGAGGCCCTGGGTTCAATCCCCAGCACCACAAAGGAAAAAAAAAAAAAAAAAGAGTGGTGGCGGTGGATGGGAAACATGGCCCTGGTCACATTCATGACTGACTAGCAATAATAATGACAATTGTATTTATATATATAATAACATATATTTTTATATTTGTCTCAAGACCTACTTTTATGTCTATATCCAGAGAGAAAAGCTAATATTTGAGTGTACATAGGAGCACTGCTCAGGTCAAACCTCATTCAACTCAACGTTTATTTGACACCGTGATCATCTGTCACATTTACAGACCATTAGTCTTCATTTACCAATCTGTAAGCATCGCGTTCCTTTCCCAGTACTTTGTACTGTGGATTTTGACTTGTAAGGGATACAGGCAAGATTCATTCAAGTGTCCTCAAAGAAAGAATTAGAAGATGGAGCTAAGAAGACCCAGCCCAAGGCCGTGTCCTGAGCCACGGAAGTCACTTGTCTGCATTTGTATTTGAAGCTAAATTCTGTGGCTGAACTGCTTCAGGCCCCGGGGTTCCACTTTGTGGAAAGGCAGGAATCCACCACCTTTTATAGTTCCCGAGAGGATAGGACACTGGACATTGACCATCCAGCTGTCCACTGTTTTTCACAGTCCCTCATGGGACCCTCTGAGATAGGACCACAAGGCAGTTTTGAGGAGTCCCTTCAAAACTCCAGAAACCAGGGGGGAAAGAGTGTAAGAAGGGCCCCATTTAGAATGTCACTTGAAATGTGAAAGGCTTCTGCCATCCCTGCCCAGGGTGGACAACCAAGCCACTTCAAGTTTTCCTGAGGATGAAATGTGAGAGAAGATAAACTTTGCTTTCATCTTTTAAACATCAGAAAATAAACAACATCAAAACGCAAGCTGGACAAGAAACAGTCCACTCACCATCCCCAGGGCTTGCTCAAGCTCGCAGGCCACAGCTGGAATAGAGGCGGGGATGGGAGGTAGAGCCGCGCCCCAGGATGCCAGCCAGAGAGTCTCTGCCCTGCATCACACCAGTGCTCCCTTCCTCTCCCAGCAGAGGGAAGAGAGCAACTGACCAGACCCTCAGCCTCTCCCCGGGTGTGGAAGCCAGGCCAACTCACTGAAGTACCCTTTTCTGAAAAGCCCAGGAAGGTCCATGCATGCATCTTTGGCCCATGATCTGAATGGGATCTCTTCAGCTATTAAATCTTTAGGGGGACACTTCATGCCCACTAGGGTGCTATAATAAAAAACAGGGACAACAGTACTGTTAGGGAGGAAGTGGAGCCCTCTTACGCTGCTAGGGGAGATGTAAACGTGCAGTGACCCTGGACCTCACAGTGGCTAGACACAGTTACCACAGGTCCCCACAGCGCCCCTCCTGGGTGTGCACTAACTGAAATAAAGAACACAGGAACGTTAGCAGCAGCGCTGCTCTTAATAGCCAGGAAGTGAAAACCACCCACGTGCCCATCAGTGGGTGATGGATAGACAGACTGTGGCATGTCCACACAGCGGCATGTCATTGGGAATAAAAGGAATGAGGCACAGATACATGCTGCATTGTGGATGGACCTTGAAATAGGTGACGGGAAGGAGCCCAGACACGAAGGCCACGTACTGTAGACTCCATTTAGGTGAAATGTCTAGAAGAGGTAGATGCACAATCAGCAGCTGGAGGCAGCAAGGGCTGGAGGTGGGGAAAGACTGTGAGTGGTTTCATATGGAGTGATGGAAATATTTGGAATTAGGTAGTAGTGATGATGGAACCACATTGTGAAAATTTAAAAAAAATACTGAAATGTATTTAAAAATTCTCAGGAAGAAGAAAACTTTGCGGGGGGGGGGAGGGGAATCTTCTGCTGGAGCCAAGCTCCTACAGGTCATCCTATGGGAGGCCTGGGAGGCTGGTGACAGCAGGTTACACAGAGGAGGCAAGGAAAGTTCAGGCACAATCTGTGACTTGCCCAGCATTACCCTGCTACACCTCTCATTAGCGGGGAGCCCGCCACCCCTCATCTTGGTCCCCACCACACAGACTTCAGCCTTGTTTTCATGGACTCTTTCCCAGCCCGGTGACCCTCAAACCTTTAGGCTGAGTCTCAAGTACCTGTTCTGCAATAGTGCAGCTCTCTGGACCTGGCCCTTCTGGAGCCTGAGACAAGACAAGCTGGCGGACCAATCACTAGTTTTCTGAATGGTGGGGGACTCCATAGCTGCTCAGGTCACAGGTCTTGTGTAGGTGCTAATTTCCCAAATGTGGGCTAAAGGACTTCTTGCAAATCAGGAGAGTAGCTCCCTGAGGTAAGGAGAGAAGGACAGGCTGAGCAATGGGCGTGGGGTCACCTCTCCACCCTCCCATCACCAGCAGGACCTCCAGCAGCCTCTTGAAAGCTCCCTTCCTAGCGGGGATCAGAAGGGCCCAGGCTCCACCATCTAAGCCAGCTGCCTGTAGGATTTTGTAGATCTGGGCGTAAAGGCTATCAGCCGCGGGATTCTTATCAAGTTCAGACTTTTTGAGGTAGGTCTAAAAAAAAAAAAAGGGAAGAATTTGCAGTCTTTTAAATGGACCATCCTGCCCCTTGTCTCTTCATGACAAATGCCCCTTTCAAAATAATTCTAAAAACTCTGTCAACACCTCCGAGCACAGGAAACCATTTGGTGAGACACGAGTATTAAAAAAATAAGCTGCATGACATTTATTTTGTCTTGTTAACATTAATATCTGTAGAAACATTTTTATTGTCAGTATAAAAATTAACAGGTTTTATTAAATACTTTCTCCAATTTCGTAACACATAAAATCAGTGTCTTCTGCATTCATGTTGCATGGCTATAAGAAAGTGAGTGGGTGATCCGAAAGCAAAACACAATACTTTAGTACAGAATGAACAAGACGGAGCTCTTCTGTCTGATGGGCCGGATCTTGAGGTGAGGTCTTGTCAGCAGCAGACGGAAGCAAACTCTTTAAGAAGATGGAAGCAGCCCCCGACTCTCAGCAGAGCATTTCTGTGTTTCCATTTTTCTATGATAGTTCTTTGAAGATCCTAAAAGGCTTCTCTGATGCCAAAGAACCTGGAAGCCATTATCAAAACTCACTGAGGAGGATGCAGACTCATCTGACAAATGCACAGCTCAGGGGCAGAAGGCCAGCTGCCGGAGAGAACCCGTCCTCTTGGGGCTCCAGCCGAAGTCTGTCCTCGAGGAATGGATTAAGGCACCTTTGAGCAAGGGCGCTGGTACCATTTGTCTTGGGAAATCCAGCTAAATGCAGCGCCGGCCAAAGACAGAGCCGCACACCAACACCAAACACCTTCCTATGAACAGGTTCCTGTGATATGGGCATTTAGGTGGTTTAAGCATAAAATTATCTGACAGCAGAGTTTAAACACAAATAAATCAAAAACTTCCATTTCCCCCAAGTTAGTCATATATTGTAAATATTTCTGTTCTCATAGGATCTGATAACTAGTTAAGTCCAAGCAATAGATTAACTAGTCCGCTGTGCTGCCCGCATAGAAATGCCATTTAAATTACAAAAAAAAAACTATAAATGATTAATTGCTTTTGTATATTACCAATTCATTAATAAATTAATGTTATACCATTTTCCCTGAAAGCAAAAGTATTTTTCCCACCTCTGCTTGGTGAAAATTAAGAAATTCTGTATAAGAACAGCATTTAGCAAATAACTATTTAAAAAAAAAAAAAGGAGAGACCAATTTTCTAGGTGTATTGGGACATCCATTTAAAATCAATACAAAAAATAATTCCTTGTAAATATATAATATATATTTATACATAATTTGAATATATTTACATACATCCAGCACCTATATACTGCATTTGTGCTCTGTAAGTGTGTGCTGACATATATTTTCTCCAATTATTACAAAATTAACAAGAAGGCAGAACGTGTGTCTGCCTTGAGTCCGATGGGGCACAGCAGTACCCACAGTGGGTCGGGGTGAGGGGGCAGTGGCTCGTGGCTGTCCACTGCTCCAGAAACATCCTCCTCCTGGTGAAGGTTAACAAGTTTTCAAATGTATAAACCTTTACACGTGTGCCGATTCCTTTTCCAATTATTTACTCCTCTGATCCATATATACAAGCAGAGACCACAGGCCCTGGGAGGCAAGGCCTGCCTGCTCAGTGTAGGTAGGTTCCTGGCGCTGCCCTGTCCAGGGACAGGAAGACACGCTCGCTCATGTTTTAGTGCTGCCGTTTATGTGTGGAAACTGAGGCAGGCAAGGTTCGTAAGGCATGGGGTCCGGAGAAAACACAGAGTCATCCCCTGAAGAACAAGAGCTCCTGGTGTCGGGGTAACTAGGAGAATACTGCTCGAGAGGCTGACTGAGGTCCAAGTAGTCCTGAAAGAAGGGAGAGAGATGTTTTATTTCATCTCGGGTCAGGATAACAAGGTGAATACGGCTCGAGAGGCTGACTGAGGTCCAGGTAGTCCTGAAAGAAGGGAGAGAAGAGTCTTGTTTGAAATGCAGGTTCCTGAGAAGTGGGCGCAAGCTGGGAAGGGACAGGGACCCCCTGGAAGGCCCACAGAGGCCGCCCCCACCCACAGCCAGGGACCCCTCCCCAAGCCCAGCTTCATCTACCCCCCACTGCTGGTGCTGGGGTCTCCTTAGCCTGCAGAGACCTACGCCAACCCTGGGCAGTCACCCCAAGTTCAAGGCCCAGCAGAGTAGAAACACCTAATAGGACACGGTCCCCGGGACCCCTTGCCTAATGAGATCATGAGTATTTATCTCCTGAATTACATCTTACTATTATAGCTTCTAGGACAATTTAAGGGGGACACTTCTTCATTCAGCACGTAATTTAACAGATGTAATTCATTACTCTCAGAAGCTCGCTCGCTTGAAAATGTAAACAGGTTTCAAAAAAAGGCTTGGATCCACTCATGCACGTTAAATCCACAGTGGGCCACTAAAGGGAAGCTTAGGGGAATGGAGGTCAAGTTTCAGAGTTCTGAAGGTCTGGATTCCCCAAAGCACCACCTTGGTGTGGCTGCCGAGGTACCCCTACATCCAGAAGAACAGGCCCTCCTCCACCCAGGCCTGGGCAAGAGCTGGTGGCCTGCTCTCACGCAGCCCGAGAGCTAAGGACAGTTGCTAACATTTGCACATGGATGGAAAACCTCAAAAGAAGAGTAATATCTTATGGCACTCAAATGACATAAAATGATATACAATTCATAACAATTCCAATTTCAGGGTCCATAAAGTTTTAGTAGAACACAGACACCCATTTATTTACATACAGTCTGTAGCTGCTTTCAGGCTATGATGGCAGAGTTTCGACAGAGACCATATGGCCCTCAAAGCTGAAAATATTTACTCTCTGGACCTTGGCAGAGAGCGTGTGCTGACCCCGCTCTGAAGCCAGGGGAAGATTTCTAAATGGGGACTTTCTCAGTCTCGCTGCCTCAACCGAGCTGGCTCGCTGGTGGTTCCGCTCATCCGCCCAGAAGCCAACCCTGTTTCTGTGACATGTGGTTTCACCCAGAGGGGACTAAAAAGTGCAGACCACAGCAGAAACAGCCTCGGCGTTATCAGAAAAGAGCCCACGGAATGTTGGCGACTATATGTTTTAAAAGACGGGGAAAAATAAAAACCCACTATAATTCATCACCAGGGCTGGCAAGAGAAGGAGTCCCCATCCAAGAAAGGGGATGTGTGGGTTCCAACAACACCACAGTATGAACCGCACCACTAGAAACGAACACGCCCACCACATCAAAAGAGGACTTTTTGCTTACAATGATAAAAATGAAATTTTGTCCTAAATGGAACCATTTTTCTTGAGCATATGGTAATGATTTTCAGAAGGAAAGAGACTTCGATTTTTATATCCGTTAGACAATATGGCATTCTGCTTTTTTTATTTTAGGATACTACACATAAATTTCAGTATGAACGGACCCCTCTTTAAATGTAAATATATAAATGTGTAACATGGAGCAGGGACATGGGATCATTAAAAGAGAACTTTAGTGCTTTCTCCAGTTTCTAAATGAAGCCATAAACTTTCAGATCTGATAGGAAAAAAATAGGAATATCAGTGGATTCCAAGTGGAGGGTTAAAGGAACTTATGCTAGAAACAACAATTTTGGCAGGAGAAGAAAGTTGGTGTCCCCCCTCCTACCCCCCGCCCTTTCTTTCAACTTCTGAAGGTCAGCTGCATTCATTTAAATGCAATCTCTCCCTTTATTCGGCACAAGCCACAGTCGGACGCACAAGATAAAAGTTGCTGAGTTGAGCTTCGTATCAGTCCATTCGACTGTATTTTTATTTAAAAAAAAAAATCACTGTAAACCTGTTCATTAAAAATTAAGTGTATAATTTGTCTAACATATTTGGGAGATGTTAACATTTTGTGGCTCCAAAGACAACTGTGTACTCTAGGGTTGTTTTGGTTTTTTCCCCATGTGAGGGAATACTGTTCCTACATCCTCATTAAATATCTCAAATTTCATTCCTTACTAATTTCTCCCCTGTGGGCTTCTCCTGGACTCCAGAGTTTTATCATCTTTCCTGCTCAGAGCATAACCACACTTTCGTGCCATAGCCCTAAAGACCACTCACTCTCTGGATTGGGTATCGAGTGACACAAAGTATTTCTTTGGTGGACATAGATTACAAACATTTTGGAGAAAATAACCACTTTAACCAATAGGTACCAGTTTTCACTAAAAATCCTAATGGTCACTCCCCATAGGAGGCTATGTGTGTTTACATGCACAAAAAGGAGGTGCGAGCCACAGCCCCTGCCAGCTGAGATCACCCACGACAGCATGGGTCACACAGAAGGACTCACTAGGTGCCATCCAGGGTCAGCGACAGGGCGTCAGCTGCTCTCACACTCGTGACCAGGCACAGACTTGGTGAGCACAAAGCCTGAGCTCCCTCCCTCCACACCAAAATGCAGCAGCTGAACACTTCTTCTCCCTCCATCCCAGCCACACGCCACCAGCAGCCACCGCTGGGCAGCCTCGGCATGGCCTCCATCTTTGGTTTCATTAATCAGAATTCACCAAGTGCACTTCTGAAAAAGCTTGTGCTTTGAAGCTGAGCTTCTCTCCTGAGCTGGGCAAGGCCCCCAGAGCGTCTAGAAGGAGGTTCTTACCTCATTGGTTGTGAGAGTGAGGATTCGATCCAGGTCCTCCACCAACTGCTTGAACGTCGGTCTCTGTGAGGGCACGGCGTGCCAGCAGTCCCTCATCATCATGTACCTGGCAAGAGACGGCCCCTGGTGAGCTGGTTTTCAGCACGAGGCTACGCCAGCTTTAACAGGAACATGCAGAGGCGCCCCGAGTAATGAAAAGGTACCAGAACCTTCCAAGCCACTCAGTGAGGAGGGGGTCGGTCACTATTCAAGGACCCAGTGCTTGCTTCCTCCAAAAGGCACTTGGACTTACAAAAATATCGCTTCACCCAAAACGTCCTAGGAAGCCATCTAGCTAGGCGTCCCTGTGACGTCGCCACGGCCTCTCGATTTCAAGGCCCTTCTGGAGGTCAAGGGAGGAGACGGGTGCCGCTAGTTCTCTAGCCTTCCGCCCTGAACACGCTGCTGAATACACTCTGGGTTTTGTTTTAAAGATTCCAACTGACAAAGGTTCCTCAGTTTAAAACAAAATAAAGTGTGAAAACCACAACTTTAAGCCAAGGGTTTCAGGGGCCCATCTGCCCCGATGGGCTGCACGCTGACTTCCTGATTAGCTCTCGCAGAGACCAACGTTCCTGGCCTTATCTTGATGGGGAGTTTCCACAGACCCTCTGCATCAGGAAAGGCAAGAGGAACGACAAGGAGCACAATAAGTGCCTTTATATAATACGCTCTAAAATGTGGCCATTCACCAGATACCCACTGTACACCTAAAAGCACTCATGGGATTACTGACATCAAATCCCCGTGAAAAGACGCACAATGGAGCGCAGTCTCCGGGACAATCGCTGCTCTTAGTTCACCCCAGGGCTAGAGGGGGGACAGCCTCCTTTTCCCAGTGCCACTTCTATTGCACAAGGCACACGTCACTGACACAATGTAACTCCACTTACAGTGTGAGGTGGATTTTTCTAGAAATCAGCTACTGGTTTTATGGTCAGATGCAGTACCCTGAGGATTTTTAGTTCTCTGCGCTAAGATGTGGGTGAAACCTGGGTTTGCAGACACTCACTGTCGGCTCTGAGCAAGTGTGGTTGATGTCAATCTGCAGTGGCGGCTGTCAGGGCTCAAAGGTGCTTCAGAAACACCCACTCTGTCCACCTGCCACGCTGGGGCTGGCAAAAGCACCTCGGCTTTGTGAGGGTGGCCCCATGGCTTCCTAGCTCACTACCTGACCCAGGACCTTCCTGTCCCTGAGGCCCAGGAGGCACCCCAGGAAGATCACTCCAGCTGGCTCTGCGCTCGCCCGGGCAGCCGCCGGCCCTCTGTGCACCGCAGCAGGCTGTGCTTTCTTTTGGACAAGGTGCGGTGGCCAGAGTAGCTATCTCAGCTCTGGGACTGAGCACGGACACCTTCAGCAACTCTTCTCAGAGCATCTTTAGAGAATCGGGGCTTTAGGAAACGGAGGGGACTCAGAAGGGTGGTTGTTGTGGCAGCAGGCCCGGCGGGGAGAAATGGCCTTACAGCTCATTGGTGCAGTTGGCTGGCTTATCCATCCTGTGTCCTTCCTTCAGCAGCTTAAAAAGTTCCTCCACGGGAATCCCTGGGTAGGGCGAGCCCCCTAAGGTGAAGATCTCCCACATTAACACCCCGAAGGACCAGCTGCAAAGAAAAAACACAGCATGACTGACCCATCCAAACAGCAAGGAAAAATAAAACACCTGCCCACTTCTCGCATTCACAGATAAACGAGCCCTCCTGCGACTCATCCCATGTCTCCCTTCCTGCTCCAAGGAGGCTCCTTGGACAGGGAGGGCTGGGGTACTCTTGATGGAATTTTCCATTGCTCTTAAAAGTTCCTGGTCTCAAACATGGCACTAGAGACACAGGATCTCCACTCCTAAACTCCAAAGGCCTCTGATCCTCTCTCTTCCCGGTGTGCCTGACACAAGGACTGTGATTCAGCAGTGCCAGCAGCTGACACAGTAAGACCAGCAAGACTGTTCTGAGAATGGCTGGCAGAGTGCCGCAGCAGACGCTCTGTGACTTACTAAGATGGCGCAGGAGTCGGTGCAGGGCCAGGGTCAGGATGGGAGAATGCTGTGCCCACCTGAGTTTCACCAGGACACCCCACAGGGCACATTCACACAGGCTTCTTAGAGACCTGCATTGGATTTTTTTTTTTTTTTTTTTTTTTTTTGAGCCTAGTTCAGGGGACTCAATCCCTGGGGCCATCAAACACAGAACCACAGGTTTAACCTGTGTCATCGAAGCTCTGGAAACTGTCCTTACTGACTCTCTGCTGGTCGGGTTTGGGAATGAAACTGTGCCTGGCTTTCTATGGAGCAGAAGCAGAAGCATGATGTAGGCAGAAGGAGCCACTGGGCTTCAGTTTGCTCATGGCACAAACGGGAATCAGGACCCTCCCTGATCGAGTTGCCGAGAGGGCTAACCCTGCTGGAAGAGTCCAGGCCTACCCCAGGAATCCTGCTCACACGGGAAAAATAGACCAAATGACTTTAAAACAAACAAACAAAAAATAAATAAATAAATATTTTTTAAAAAAACAGGCCAGGCATGGTGGCACACGCCTGTAATCCCAGTGGCTCAGGAGGCTGAGGCAGGAGGATTGCGAGTTCAAAGCCAGCCT